ATTACTGTATATATATATATATATATATGTGTGTGTGTGTGTGTCTGTGGTATCTCAAAGTTATGGTCTCCTTTCGGCTTGGATGAAAATGATTAGTCACATGAGTAGCCCCAGTGATTGGGTACACGTGACGTTTCTTGTGAACTATGGAACATTGGATTTATAGAGTGAGGTCCACAGTCATGAAAAACAAATCACATGAAAGTAGATCCAGCATATAACGTCATTGTTTATATTGTCCATTACATTGTGTCCAATCTTTCTATTTGAGGTTCAATTATTTAAAGATTCAATATTATCTTGTGATAAATATCCTGATCATCTCTCCTGTTATTTGCAGATCTATTTCATCACTCTTAATTCAGTTCGTCCTGCGTATATCACTTTGAGTGAATGACATTATATTAGGTCGTCAAGTAATTAATGTCACTTTTTTAAGATGAAAAAACCCGAATAACAGTATATCAAAACAAAACATTTATTGATTGAAATAGTCTCCATTTTTATCGATGATGCTTTTCCATCTTACAATCAGGTTGTTAATGTCCTGATTAAAGAAATCTCTTGGTTTTGAAGCAAAAAACATGTCGATGTCTTCTTTAACACCTTCTACACTTGCATACGTTTTCCCATTAAGATGATGTTGCAGCGAACGAAAAAGATGGTAATCTGATGGTGCCATATCTGGAGAATATGGTAGGTGGGGGAGAACTACCCAACCTAACTCCATAATCTTGTGTTGCGTCAAACGTGCCACATGTGGACTTGCATTGTCGTGGAGAAGAAGAGCACCTTTCCGATTGACGAGTGCAGGGCGTTTCTGATGAAGAGCATGATGTAAACGTTCCAACTGCTGACTATAGATCTCTGCATTGACAGTTTGGTGTGGATTGAGGAGTTCGAAATGTATTACTCCTTTGATGTCCCACCAAACTCAAAGCATCACTTTCTGTGGATGGAGTCCAGGTTTTTGGGTTGGAAGTGGTTTTTGTCTAGGACTGAGCCATTATTTTTAGCGTTTAATTTTCGCATAGAGAATCTATTTTTCATCACCGGTGATAGTTCTGTCCAAAAATGGTTCACGCACATTACGCGCTAGACGAGACGAAGCAACATTCACACGTTGGAAACAATTATCATCGGAGAGTTCGTGATGCATCCAAACACCTTCTTTATGGAGTTTCCAATATTTCTTAGACGTTAACGTATTGTTTCGTGAGAGACATGCAATTTCGGGACCATTTCACGAGTGTGTTGCTTTGAGTTAGACTCAACAAGCGTTTTGAGAGCATCAATATCAATTCCAACATGTCGGCCCCTGCCATTACAGTTTTTAAGGCTAAAGTCACCTGAACGAAATTGGCTGAACCATCGTT